GCGCCGGCCGACGCAACTTCCACCCAGTTCCGTCAACTCGCGCTCGCGGTCTCGCCTCTCAGCCAATGGGCAGTCACGCCGGTGGTTTTGTTCCGCACCTCTTTAAAAAGACAGTGGAAGGGTCGACCCGGACTTGCAAATACTGGCAAACGCTGCTTTTCAAGGCAGGGGTTAAACACAAGTGCTCACTTCCTTCTCCCTTGCTTTGCTACCTTCTAGTTAGCTTCCTTCCTCAAGGACTTTCTTCAAAGGTGAAATTAAAAAATAATAATAATAATCTTAAAAGCACATTAATTAAATGTTTATTGATTTGCACTTTGTGCTGGACCACGTATGAGGTCAAAGTGTAAGACTTAATGTTTACCCCGGAAGCTTTTGTCCTGGGATAAAACAAGCATTTGACAACTTAGTTATGTTGTTTTCAGATGCTGGGGAATAGGTTCTGACTGTCACATACTCTACATCCAACAGAGCTAAAGACTACCCAGCCCTAAGAACAAAAGAAATAAACACTCCCCAGCCATAAATACAACAGAAAGAAACATTGCCCCATTCTGCACCAGCCTCAAACTGTACTAAGCATGATGCCGTTTTCCAGGGACTGGTGGTATCTCATATGACCAACGTATGGGACAAATCTCGCTATCCTTACGTCTAAGGAGCATTCTGGATATACTTTTTCAGAGACTAGTTTGCTTTTTCTTCTTTTTGAATATTCTTCCCCAATACCATAATTCAAAAGCATCAGTCTTCCTTATTCATTGCCCAACTTCAACACACATGTGAGCTGACATCTTCATTCTTCCACACTTGGAAGAGATCTGCAGATTTGGCCAGTGCAATATGTTGTTTGGTTTCTTGATTGCTGTGCTCATGTGGCAGTTACAGAATCTCCTGTCAATTAAGAGAAGGGGTGGAGTCTAGCCTGTCAATCAGGTCATAGCCAATCATGCCTCTGTGTGGGCATGGCCTTCTCCTGAGGATTCTGGGAACTCCTGTCTTCTTCCTTGGGGGCGGGACACACACTCTCTTTGCTTCACCTTCTTGTTGACAAGCCAGATGGAGCCATGCTGATGGCAGCCAGAGCCCTGGAGCTGGAGGAGCCATGTGGAGACCCATGCCAGCACTGAGATGCTTCTACCACCACTGGCCTGTGATGCCCCTGTATTCGGCGTCATTGCATGTATTGCATGAGTCTGACGAGGAATTTATAGACTGGTATCAGACAAATGGGTTAATATCACACTTGTGAACTTGATCTGGACTGGGCTGGGATGTTTTCTTAATATATAATTTTTCATTGATATAAAGTTTTTCCCACACATATGAGTCTCCTGGATTTGTTTCTCTAGTCGACGCAGACTAACCCACCTGTATGATATGCTTACTTAACTGGCTATTTTAGCTTAGACAAGCCACTTAATAACTTTGTGTTTCACTTTCTCCAAACTGGGCAAATGATAGTTGGAATCATATAAAATTGTTGGTGATTGGCCATTTTTGATCTGCAAAAATGGCAAGTACCCATCACTCTGTGCAACATAGTATTTATCACATTGGATTGGTATGAAGAGTTAATGAAAGTATATGCACAAAAAGCCCTTAGTACAGTAGTTGGCTCATAGTAAATACTCAGTAAGTGAGAGCTGCTATCACCAGTTTCTACCCTTCCTCTTATAATCCATTGCACACAATATTGATAAATAAGTTCATCTCCTGAATTCATAGCTAGTCTCATGTGTGTTTTTTTGTTTTTTTATTTACTTATGAAAACTTACTCTTCACAGCAACTCTATGGCATGGGTGACTTTTTACCTTTATTTTATGGATGAAGAAACCGAGGATCAGACAAGTTAAGCAACATTTCCATAATTTCAGTTAGTGTAAGTGTTAGGACCTCAATCAAACACCTACATTTTTAACTTCAAATTTCTTACTCTTCCATACTACTACAATGTACTCGATGACACATAAAATATAAATGATTGAGGTAGTTGTAATTCTTGAATGTGTTTGTGCTTGATTTATATGCATTTTATGCCCGTACAGCTTTAATTTACTCTGTGCTTTAGATAATGACAGGGAGCCCTGGTGGCCTAGTGGGTTATATTTCTGGCTGCTAACTATAAAGCCAGTAGCCTGATTCCATCAACTGTTCCTCAGGAGAATGATGAAGCTGCCTTCTCTTGTGAAGATTTAAAGTTGTTGGAACCCAAAAGGGGCATTTCTACTCTGTGTTGTAGGCTTGCAACGAGTCAGCATTGACTCAATGGCTTTGGGTTTGGGCCTGGTTAATGATACCCTTGCCGTGACACCGTAGTTTGAGGAAGGAAACTTACATCATCTAAATTCATTTGGTGACAAAAACAAGAAGTGGAAAATCAAAGAAATTGGTTATGTCCAGTTATTTTGAATGACAAGTACTATTGACTATATTTTGATCTTTGGGAATAGAGTGAATTTTGTCTTTACACGGTTTTAAATTCTTCTGTAAATACTGGGTAAATACAAAGAGTCACTGTAGGAATGTCACGGAGGTGGCATCTGACCTCCACTGGCTTCACACAAGGGGGAAGGGGAATCAAACTCAACATCAGCCAACGACTGATTCCAACAAGTCAGGGCTCAGACACGCTCCCATCTTCTTCCCTACTTTGGCCATTCTTACACCAACTCTTCCTCCCGCGCCACTCTCTCCTTCTCTGCTGGGTTCAACAATGCATGACAATGGCCACGCAGAACTCACAGGAAATACTCACAGTTATGAGGTTTATTAGGAAAGCTAACAGGTTACACGTCACGATCAGAAATGCTCAGGATTCAGTTCTTGCCAGGAGTGCCTGTTCTCAACCTTGCCTATAGGAATGTCTTCAGTCCCTTAGCCTTTATGGTGCCTTGGCCTCGTCTTTGCTCGGGCAAGTGTTACAACGCTCTTTTAGTGCTGCTGATAAATGCCACCCCATCCCAAGGCATGATATTCTGCCCCACGTCTCAGCCCAAAGACACTTAGCACTAGCTTCCTGGATTAGTAAACCTAGCGCCTCAATTGATCTAAATTCATCCCACTCTGCAAGTGAGCCTTTTTCCTGAAGGTATTCAGCTTTTCTTGCTCAACGGACTGGGAAGCTCACAGCTCTGTCTCATGCTCTGGGTTTTGCCACAGCTGGCCCTCTGCTGCGGCGGTCCTCCACCCCTCCCTCTGGGGTCACCGCTCTGTCTCCAGATGGAAGAAGTTCAGCATGGGATCTCAGGCACAAGAAATGTGTCACCCTTGGTGCCTCTGTCTTGGTAGTAGTCAAATTCCCCCTTCCTGCTTCAGAGATGGCTCATTTTAAACGCAGCGGGAGGGCAAACCGACCAATCCTTTCCTTAGGTTTCTCATCTTGATCAACTACCTGAGCCTCTGCTTCAATTGGTCGCAGGTCGGAAGTTCTCTGATTAATTTCCTCCTGCCTGGGGTGACTAGAATTAACTTGCTTAGGGTTCTAGAACATCAGAGAACCAGTAGAAGTTTCTGTTGCTGCATCCAAACTCCTGTGGTGCTGCATTAAAACTTTTGCATCAACTGCATCAACACCTGATACAAAGAACTCACTGCAGCAGGATGTGGTTACTAAAAAGATATGCGTGATAGTTAGTTTTTTGTGCCAACGTGGCGCCCGTAGGAAGATATGGGTGGAGTTTAGCCTGTCAATCAGGTTGCAGCTTGATGGCCTCCTTTGGAGGTGCCCCTGAGCTCAGTGGCCGGAGGAGGTAGGCCACTCTCTCTCTCCTCCTTCACTTTCCTGTTGACGCCATAGCAAAGACCTTCGTGAGCCCCGGGGATGCTTCCACTGTCGTTGGATCCACAACACTTTTCATCCACCAGCCTGTGATCTTTCTGCATTTTGCATCATTGCTTGTGGCTGCGTGAGTCTGCAGAGGGACTTATGGACTGGTCTCAGACTTATGGACTTGTATTGGACTTATGAACTTGATCTGGATGGGGCTGGGATGTTTTTCTGATATATAACTACTTCCTGATATAAAGAGTAAGCTCTAACACATACACAAGTGCCGCTGGATTTATTTCTCTAGTCAACCTGGCCTAACACATTATAGTTTTAAAGTAACCATATAAAAATAAGTGCTGCTGGAGTAAGTTCTTTCCCAATTACCTCTTGCCAGGAGGTACTCTCCTGTGAGTTACTCTTATGTTTCTG